AAACCAACCACCGTAAGCTTACTAAACTAAAGAGATGAACAAACTTGTTAGGGGTTAGACATCAATCACACATTTATTAATCACGTAGTAATATGATTTCAGAAGGCTATTGTCTCATCCCAACTTTGTTTCGCTCATTCTCTTCTTTTTTTTTCCATTTTTTTTTATAGTTTTGATCGAACCCTTTGGAGGTTGCCTACGTATCATGTCGCCTCATGAATCAGATCATTACGTAGTTCAGAAATTTAGACAACTCAACAACATTAATTTAGACAAGCAAAATCAAACCCTTTCATTCATTTTCAAAAAACTTTAAGCAAAACGACAAAATCAATGGGTTTAAACACAACCATGATCAACATGATCTCTTTGAACACCAAACTTTAAACTGAAACACCGAGTCTTAAACAAAACAAGATGAAACAAAAAAACAAACAAAACAGCTAAACTTTTCTTCAATCTTCATCATCTTCCTTGGGCTTTCTTTGTCCTCCTAAGGTCTCATATAGATTCAACAACACCTTCGGCAGATGGGGAACAATGGCCCGTGCTTGCTTAGCCACTTCTGGATCATTCATACGACGATGATTTTTAATAACATAGGAGGTTTGTTCCGCCAACTGATTAACTTGACGCCTAGCCCTTCCCATATTTTCGTAGCAGTTATTCAACCAAACCTGATGATCACCAAGATTGTTCCTTAAGAGGGCCTCTCGCTCCTCTATTGCTTCAAGTTGATGGCGAAGTGTTGCTCTCTCAATGATCATTTGTCTTTACCCCCTCTTCGATATCGACACAATGACTGATTTTCCTTTTATGTTCTTCTAACTGTGCATTAAGTTGATCATGTAAACGCATCCAACATGACCTTTCTTTCTCAAATTTCTCCTTCTGCCGCTTAAGTTCTCCCTTTTGGTAGTGCACGAGCTCTTTAGATGCCACTAAGTCCCTCTTCAATCGAGAAATTTCAAAACTCTGCTCCTTTTTTATTTGTCGGGCCAAGTGAATTCTACTATCCAACTCTTCTTCTAACCGGGCTAATTTCCCCTCTGCATGTTTCAATTCCCCTTCCACATCTTGTAACTCCAACCGGTGATTTCTTCCTCTTTGGACTTGAACTCCTTGCCGGGCAATGGTGACTTTGGCCTTCTCCAACTCTTTTTCCAACTGTATTATGATGTGCTGGCCTTTTCTTTTTCTGTTGGATCCTTCGGGAATGTCACCAAATGTTTCTGGATCATGAAACCACAATAGGTACCCATGCACCACTTTTCCTTATCTTGCTCCATAACCATTCCCTTAGCTTAGAAATTATACTCCCAAACCATATCTTCAGAATATCAGTGCTATCAAAGGCAAAACCTGGCGGGGTGTCAAATACAAATATACTCATATCATCATTTGGTGGGATTTCTTGAACTCTAACCAGCTGACGCATAACCCGAAGTGGGGCATAGGGTTGAACACCTCTAAGCCCAATCAACACAAGAAACGAGATACCACTATACATGCAAATGACATCCTTAGCTGGGAACCAACAATAATTCCACACTAATTCATTAGACGTGATCGCCGAAAGTTTCTCTTCACACGCTAAAATTCCTTTTGGAAAATTGATTTTTGTTTCCCTTTCCTTATGGGAGGAAACATAATTACACCAGTCTGGAGTGAACCTGGGCGCACGATCATGGTGATAAAGATGTTCCAAAAACCATATTTGCAACCAGATGTTGCAGCCTTCAAAGTACACTTTCCTATTTATGCATTTAGTCAATGCACGAAGCATATCTGCTAGGATAATAGGAATAATAGTAGGACTTTCCATTGTGGTCAGCGCCTTCACCACCCCAGCTAGACGAAAGTCAATATGCTTGTCCCGTTTGGGGAAAACAATGAGCCCCAAAAATGTGACCATGAAGGCAAAACATCCATTCGCCTTCCAAGCCTCTTCACCCCTTTGGTTGCTAAGTTGGTTCTGATAGTTTTTAAATTCACCATTTTGGCCATACCTCTCGTATAGAAAGTCCAATGAGACCCACCCATTTTTCAAACTCTCCTTTTCTATTTGATTGATCTTGAGAAGTTCCAGGAACTTTTTGGCATCAACGTTATTTGGAATTATAGGTTTTTTATTGCGGAGATCAGCACCCCGAACACTGGACCCCTTCCCCATGAAGCTGGCGATTTCTTCCAGAGTTGGTGTCATCTCAAAGTCCAAAAATCGAAATACATTATTTTTTGGATCCCAGAAAGGAATCAATGCCTCGATCACATCCCTTCTAGGGTCAATCTCCATTAGATGCACTAGATGTCCCAGATGTTCTTTTACTTTCCTTTGCTCATGACTCCCCATGTCTGTCCACCAGTCTTGAGAACTTTCAGAAACTTTTTGGCATCAATGTTCTTTGGAATTATAGGTTTTTTATTGCGGAGTTCAGCACCCCGAACATTGGACCCCTTCCCCATGAAGCTGGCAATTTCTTCCAGAGTTGGTGTCATCTCAAAGTCCAAAAATCGAAATACATTATTTTTTGGATCCCAGAAAGGAATCAATGCCTCGATCACATCCCTTCTAGGGTCAATCTCCATTAGATGCACTAGATGTCCCAAATTTTCTTTTACTCTCCTTTGCTCATGACTCCCCATGTCTGTCCACCATCGCCATAAATCCTTGGGTAATGTGTCAACGATCATGAACTCTGGAATTTCTTCATTTCTAGGCCTTTTGGAACCCTGTCCTTTGGTCGGAGGTGCCATTTGTACCTTTGAATAGAATCCAAGTAATGTTTTATGACAAACTCTAACCGAGGGAGGAAAGAAAAGTAAAAAAAAGAAAGACAAAATACCCCTTTTTACAAACACCGAACCCGAGAAGGGATGCCTACGTATCTCATTTTAGTGAGAATCAAGTGTGCGTAGTTCATAAAAAAAAGACTCACACTTGAAAGACCACCCCTTTTATTTCAACCTCTTTTATTTTTTTTTCATTTTTTTTTTTAAAAAAAAAAGAAAGACAAAGCTATTGTAAAGCTGGTCAACAATGTAAAGGCCTTCTAAATAAATTATTTTTACGTAGCATATAAAATGAAAATATTGGTCTAGAGTAGGTACATATCTTAGATTTTCTAGGTCAAATGCACATGATCCAAATAAATGTAGCCTACCAGGGATAGTTTTTGCTAGGTTTAGCACTTTATATGGAAGGTGTCTATACTGGCTTTACTCAAGTGGACAACTCGAGTCGGGGAGGGTCAGCATACCGATAGCAGAGCTATTCCGGCTTAACTGGAGATCCAACCCCGCATAACATGTGTGACAAACCTAGAACCAGGAGCGTAATCGCACATTGACTCATCCTAGACAAAAGTCCCGTGGAGCGTATCCGCACACAGTGTATAATAAAAATTTCAGAGACTTAGAGGGTGTGCAAGAGAAGACAATTTATATACAATCACAAAATATCAAAATAATGAATCATTGAATTAGCGCAATTAGCCAACAAACAAACAATTTTTTTTATCCAAATAATCAAAATAGCCAAATATAGTCGATGTACAAAGCTCGAATTCTAAAGAAAGTCTCCAGCAGAGTCGCTAGATCTGTCACACCACTTTCCTTTTTTACAATTGTTAGAGATATGACGGTTTTTTTTTTAAATGATTTTTTTTGTTTTTGAGTCGCCACTTGAAATTGTGTTTTTTAGGTGTTTCAAGTCACCTGGTAATTCCTAATTTAAAAGAGAAAGATTTTTTTTTTTTTAATTTTTAGTCTACGAAAATAGAGATTTGGTAAGAAATTCTATTGACCGGAGGGAAGGTGTGAGGCACCCCCGAGTCCCGTGGTTCTAGCACGGTTGCTTTATTAACTCATGTTTGGCTAAAATAATTTTTGGATAAAAAGTAATTTTGTGTTAGTTACTAATTTTTTTTTTTAATAAAAAAAATTGATTGGCCTAGGAGCGTAACCGCACACAAAAACCACTTTGTTAGAAAATTATACACACCAAGGATCGTAACCGAGCACATGGTGGTATTTAATATATATATATATATTTTTTTTTTTTTTTTAAAAGACTGATAATTGATGACTCAAAATTTATTTAATAATGAGAAAAAAAATTAATAAAAAATGAACTTGTTGCAACATATAGAGATGAAAAATATTTTATTTTTGCAAATTGCTAATTAAGGAATTAACGATTTTTTTATTTTAAAAAAGAATCAAATAAATAAATATTAAGTATCACTACTTGACGATAACAACAAAAAGAAAAAAAAGTATATATTTAAAAAAAAGAAAAAGAATAATGACTAAGCCCCATTTAAAACAAGTAGTGATATAATTTTTTTTTTTTTTTTGATATAATTTGAAAAAATGATCACTTTGGTAAAATTTTCAGTTTTACACAAAATGGTCATATGCTCTTTTGAAAAAAAGTTGCAAAAATAGCCAATTTTATCTAATAGTTAAATTACTAACCAAAAGTAGCCGATTTTGTATTTTTGTTGCAATAACCATTTCATATATTTATTTAAGAGAAATAAAAACAGAATTTATGAAATGATCAAATTTACATTTTTTGCAAAAATGACCATATTTATATTTTTTGTAAAAATGACCAGATTTACATTTTTTTTTTTTGCAAAAACAACCTCTCTATTTTTCTTTTCTTAAAATCACCAGAAACTAAAAATATAAAAAAATCTTTGAGATTGTTGTTTTTTTTTTAGCAGAAACATGAGTTATGTATCAACTTCATAATAATAAATATAGAATTAACACCTACTTTAATAATAGAACACAAATATATAATAACAACAAAACATAATTTAATTAATTCCAATAAAGTTATGTATCACTTCATAATGATAAAGATAAAATTAATACTTAGTTAATAATAGAACACAAATATATAATAATAACAAAACATAATTTAAACTAATTCGAAATAAAGTTATCACTTCATAATGATAAAGATAGAATTAACACCTAGTTTAATAATAAAACACAAATATACAATAACAATGAAACATAATCATATTAAGTAGCATAACATATTTACTATTTCAAATAAACTAAACATAATAATTTAATCAAAAATATAAACATGCTTCATTATTTTTTGAAGTTGCATTGCAAAATGTAAGGAAAGAGATGTACCTAAAGAGATGATGACAAAATAATGATGAAAACAAAACTTAATTGAATTCTCAAAGACCACCAAAAGATGAAATATATATCTATTTTTTTTCTTTTAGAAGTTATGATTTCCCTCTTTTTTTTTTCTTTTTTTTTTAAAACTTAAAGATGGGAAAGCCCTTTTATTAATGGACCATTACATGAAGAGCTGGCCCAAAGAAGACCCGACCCAACACATAACCAGTCATTTTAGGAAACAAAAATATAAACAAAACAAAACAAAAAGGAAAAGGGAAAGGGGAAAAGGAAATAGAATCAGCGCAGCTCCTCCATCGTCGACGAGCTTATACCGGCAAGGTCGGCACAACCTCCTCCATCTTTGACGAGCTCATTCCAGCAAGCATCCTCCAGTGACTTGAAACCACAACATCAGTACAACGAGTTTGGGGTGTATTTCATCTCGAACGTTGTCTAGTCTCACCAACATCATGAAATCATCCCAATCGGAGACTTCTCCAGCTCAAGGTACTTCAATCGAGACTTCAAATCAGGTGATAGTCTCACTCCCTATGCAAATTTGTTTATCATATACCTAATATTGACCTCGCAACCTTCATCCCTTAGCTTTGACAGGTTGAGCCCAACAAGGAGCTAATACCACTGTCTTGAGCTTCGCTACGAGGTTACTGCATCCTTCATAGGTATTTTCCTTAACCTGTAACTTGCTCAGTGCCATTTAACAAATGTTTTCGCCATATGTGAATAAAACTCACTGATTTCGCAAACTTCAGAGTAGCGTATGAATGTTACTGCAGCCTGTTTATGTATTGTCATTGTTCTGAAATTTGCTCATGGCTTTATACCGTTATCCAGCGAAATATGATCCCAATATGCGTAATCTTCAGAATGTTGTATGGATGTTGTACTGCAACTGTTTATGTTTTTTCCTTGTTCTGAAATTCGCGCATTGCCTTTGTAATTATAACTCACTACCCTCGCAACCTTCAGAGTATTGTATGACTGTTGTATTTTTAAGCCTGAAATACATGCTCCTTCGTATGTTCTTATCTGAAACATCAATCTTGTGCAAAATCTCCATTCTGAAACTTTCTTATCCTTAGATTAGGAATTTGACTTTTATCCATATTTAGAATTGTCTTTGCTTCACTAGGTAGATCTTGGAAATCATTATAACATATAGAATCTGTACCTGCAAAAGAGAACACAATGGCCACCTCCAATCCATCTTTCAGAATATGTATCCTTCTGACCTCCATAGTCACCTCCCAAGGTCTGTGCCAAACCCCTTCAACCATTTTCATTGCAGCTAAAGAATCAGTTTCTATAATCAGTGGGAATAAATTGTTATTCCTGCAATATTCCAACCCTAGTCTCATAGCTACAATTTCAGCACTTAAATTGTTTGATAGTCCAATCTGCTGTTCTTGTTCTTTTTTTTTTCTCTCTTGAAATGAAAGAATAATGGGTTTAACTAGGTGTGGAGCATTAAACCCCCACTCTTCTTGAAAACTTAAGAGTCAATGCATGCATTAGACTCTTTGTTTTCCCAAGGTGCCACCACCCAAGATGACCAATGAAATTTCCTCTTTTCTTTTTTCTTTGTTCTTTTTCCAAGATAAAATTAATTAAAAGATTGCATTGCCCTTTTAGATGACCCATTTCTTTTATTCATTAATTGAATAATAGCTAAATGGGTCATCTAAAAATTTAGAATAGGCTCAAAATGCCATTTTAGATGACCCATTTTTTTTATTCATTAATTGAATAATAGCTAAATGGGCCATCTGAAAATTTAAAATAGGCCCAAAATGTAAACTCATTTGATCAAGACCCAAAAATCAAAAGAAAATCAGCCTTCTAACACAAAATCTAAACATCTAAACTATTTTGAAGATCAAAACACCACAAGTAAGGCAGAAAATAATAAAATAAAATAAAAAAATGAAATTAAGAAATAATAAACTCAAGCAACAACTTCAACATGATAGAACTTGTTCTAACACAAAATCTAAACATCTAAACTATTTTGAAGATCAAAACACCACAAGTAAGGCAGAAAATAATAAAATAAAATAAAAAAATGAAATTAAGAAATAATAAACTCAAGCAACAACTTCAACATGATAGAACTTGAAGAATACTAACAAAACAATATAAATTCGGCACCATAACGACTTATATGGTTTTAAAAAAAAAAGTGATAATGACGAATTTGGATAGAGGATGAGAGGGGAAAATGATTTGACATAAATTTTTGGATGAATGGAGGTCGCCGGAAAACTCCGCCGGAAAATTTGTTGACGGGTTTTGGACATAAACTTTACATCAAAGGATAGCCCTTGAAGAGCTCTACAATTTTATGTAAAGGATATAGGACGGGGATGACTGAAACTTTGTAAATCTAAAGAAAAAGGTGAAAATTTATGTTTGGTTTTTCTTAGATCTGTGGAGTTTGGCTATGTATATGAACGAATGGTTTGCGGATTTGTGTAGAGGAGGGTGAAAGGAAGAAATGGTAAAATTTTGGAGATTTTTTCGGCCAAGGGGTGGTGGCCGGCGGCGGCAATGGCGGTGGCCGACCGTTGGCAGGTGAAAGCAAAGGGGAGAAGAAAATAAAAAATGCAAATACAAAATTTGTTTTTTTGGAGTTTGGTATTTTTTTTTTTTTTGTAGGTCCATAAGAGACCTTGGATCAAAATATCATGAATGATTGAGATTTAATCTTGACCATTTCTATTGGACCGGGACAAAATTGATTGGGCCATCAGAATTTGGTCTAAATCAACTCAATTTAATAAAAAATTGGGTCACTTGGGCCAATTAAAAAAAAATATAAACAAAGATGAACTACCCAAAATACACAACAAAAATATAAGAAAAGACCTTACTATATATTGTAGGATTAAAATAAACACGTCAAAAATTATGTGTTCACAATATATAAAAGATGTATCTATACAGAATTAAACAAAATGACCATTCGGTCATTGTTATAACAACATATGGCCCAATTATTATTTGAGAAACTTTCGCATATATCCATTCAAAAATAGTTTAATTACGCTTTATAGCTATAATTTGCTAATTACGATTCGTAAATACATGTTATAGGGAGGAGAGTAGCGAGCGAGATTGGGAGAGGTAGGAGAGAGGTGAATTATATAGGTATATTGGTTAGATAATTGTATATTATGCATATGCATTTGTATATCTGGCGAGCAAGATTGGGAGATGGAGGAGAGAGGAGAGCGAGATAGGCAGAGGGAGGAGAGAGGCGAGCGAGATTGGGAGAAGGAGAGAGGTGAGCGAAAGAGGGCAATAATTTGCATCTCGTTTGTATAATTCGCGGGTATGTTTGTATAATTTGCGTGTTTTTGTATAATTGAGTAATATAAAGTCTAGAATTGATAAAACTCTAAATAACGAATCGATACAAACATAAACATATGAACTTTAAATAGTTATACAAATTATATTATACAAATTACATTATATAAATCATATTATCCAAAATCCAAAACTACACGTTTATACAAACTTTAAAAAGTTATACACAAAAAGATTGAATGTATATGGTGACAAACCTGGAAAACCAAAGGAAATCATCGTCATATACAAATACAAACCATGGTATACAAATACAAATCAAACGAAGAATTGTTAGTTGCAAATCATACAAATGTAGCTAATTATACAAATGTGACTAATTATACAAACTCGAAGTCAGCCCACATAATTAATTGTTAATGTTAGTCGCAAGTAGTAATTATAACAAACTATAGCTATGATGAGTAATTAAGTAGTATAAGTTTGCTTAACCGCGTAATTTTTCCTTATTATTACAGGGTATTTGGATTAGCTTAAAATTTGGTCAAACCTACTTTTAAGTCAATATTTGACTTAATGAAGTGTTTGGTAAATATAAAAAGTAACTTAAAATAAGTCAAAAATGACTTCAAATAAGTTAGGAAGTGTTTGGTAATGTCAAAAATAAAGTAGGTCCCCTACTTATATTTTTTGACTTAAAAGTCATTTCAGTGTGACTTTTTATTTTGGGAAAATTACGCGGATAAGCAAACATATACTAGTTAATTAACTAACATAGCTATAGTTTGAATTAATTACGGCTGACAACTTAATTTTAGTTGTAATTATGTCACATATACAAATACAGATTATATATATATATATATATATATATACACAATTATACGAGAGATATACATATACAATTATCCTCTGGCCACTCTCTGCCTCTCTCGCTCGCCTCTCTCCTCCCTCTCCCAATCTCGCTCGCCTCTCTCCTCCATCTCCCAATATCACTCGCTAGATATACATATACATATGTATATTAGTTACATATATACAATTATTGATAGATGTACATATACAATTCGCCTCTCTCCACTCTCTGCCCTCTCTCGCTCACCTTTCTCTTTTCTCTCTCCTCTCTCTCTAAATCTCACTCGTCAGATATACAAATACATATGTATATCAGTTGCATGTAAACAATTATTTGATAGATATACATATACAATTCGATAGATATACATATACAATTTGCCTCTCTCCACTATCTGTCCTCTCTCGCTCGCCTCTCTCCTCCCTCCTCCCTCTCCCAATCTCGCTCACCTCTCTTCTCCCTTTAACATTTAGCTACGAATCGAAATTAGAAAACTATAGCTATGGATCATAATTAAGTTATTTTTGAGTGGCTATGTGCGAAAATTTTTCTTTTATTTCTGACTTAAAAGCTATATTTTTAAGCCAATTCAAACGGGGTCATAGTCATATTGTTTTATTTTCCTCCCTGTTTTCTGCTTCGTCCTCCTCTCCTTCTTTTCTTTCTTTATTTTTTCTATGATCTTCTTCCGGCCATTAATGATTACTTTCCTCCTTCTTCCTTATTTCTTCGTTGATTTTCTTCTCCCTTCCTTCTTTGTTTTCTTCTTCCATGTTTAAAGCTTGTTGCTCGACTTTAAAATTGATGTGCAAGAAATGTGAGTCGTTTCAAGTGAATAAGATATGAAAATACTCGAAAAATTGGAGAGGAACTCATATCTAAATTTTGGGACTGTTTAAAGAAGATTTGAGTTGGTTGGGATTGAAAAATAATTGAACAGCAGCGTATACTTTACTGTATAAAAATTATATATAGATGTATATATAAATCACTGATACATAAATATACATGATTATACACTATTTATATAATATCGATACATCATATGACCATTTTGTTGAAAACAATTTTTGGTGGATGTATACATTGGTAACGCTAACATAACTGAAAGTTCACCACGAGGTTTAAGGGGTGTTTGGATTGACTTTTTTTTAGTGACTTATAAGTTAAAAGTTGATATAAGTTATTCCACCATGTATATGAAATAACTTATCCCATTACTATGATATAAATGATGTGATGAATAATCTAAACATATGATAAAATGATTTTGCATTTTGTTCTGAACGACTCCTAAAAGTCATACGTTAGGAACATCTAACTTTTGACTCTTTTTTTTCAGCCTAAAAGAAAGTGATTAAAAATACTTTTTGTGTTACTCAAATACTTTCAAAATTAAAAAAAAAACATAAAAAACAAAAACCTCTTAAACTAAATCAATTCAAACTCCCACTTAAGTGTCTTTTTTCTCTCTTAACTCCAAAAGGCTTACCATAGGAGTCCAATCGTTTTGTGCCATTTGATTGTGTGGACATGACCCACTCTGTGCAGAACTGGTTTAAGCGTATAGACATGAAGTCTAATATGGTGTCCGACCCAATTTGGTACCATATTTTGATTTTAAAATCTGGGAAAAACTACATAATTATACAAATATTTCTATGAATATAATGTATTTGGAACAGATTACATCTAATTTAATCAACATGTATCTGACATACATGTATTTGAGTGCACCAAATACATCTATTCGGTGAAGTAAATGTGGCACAAAAGATAATTTCAAAAACTAAAAGTGAAAACATATAATTAGATCCTAAACTAATGAAATTTGTATTATTTGAGACACTTGTAGAGAAATGAAGCAACACGGGAGTCAACCTATACATAAATCCAATTGTATATTTTACACAATTGACTTGAGAAAGTTCCCTGTCTTTACTACCCCTATCGATACAAAGTAAATAATTTTTTAAGGTGTGTTATTACACTCCTTAATAAAGTTAGTTAAAAATTAGGTATAATATATAAACATGCCCTTTATTTTGGTTTCTGTTAGTATATATGCCTTTAATTTTGAGTGTGCACAAGTAAATACATAAACTTGTATGGAGTCTGTTGTAACATCCCGACTTTTCGAAACGTCTAAATTAACTCGTACCTTCGTGGAAAGACAAAGAGGGTGAGTAATAAATTAAGAATGATGTGGTATGTCATATTTTAAGTGTTCACGGGTTGTATCTCATGTTTTGAAGTTAGGTAAGTCGCAAAATAAAAGTTGGCGAAAGTTATCGTAAGTTCCTTTTTAAAGATTTCTCTGAAATTTTGGTCAAATGTCTCGGAGGTTGTCTCCCAATTTATAAAAATTTATGGGTCCCACAACCTATCGAATCGAAGGTTTACGATTCTAGTTTCCAACGCAACAAACCGTTTGTTCATACGACTTCAGAATAGAGAGATTGCGCAAGCAGGCACGTGAGGTGGGTCCCCTAGGTCGGTGGAAGCTTATAAGATAGCATCTTCTTCATTTTTCTTCATTCCAACTCGTAAGATACCCACGAAAATCAAAGAATTACTCCTCAAATCATCCTTGTGTGTTCATGATCTCTTCTTGGCTCCTTATAAAAAATTGCCCTACGTCGCGAGCTCGTCGTTTTGGTATAATTTTCACGGTAAATTGAGCGGTGTAGCTACGTGAAAGTTGTGGCAGCAGGCTTTTTTTCAATGTTTTGATTTATTCAAGTGTTCTGGGAGTTCAAAGATAGGTAGGAACCATCTTTTTAGCAGTTTACGGAGACCTTAGGTCTTGGATAGTAATTTACGATAGAAATCCGTATCGATTGTCGAATTGTCGTAGTAATTTTATCCTTAATTACTGATTGATTTTACCTTTTTCTTTAGTGTTTTAGTGGTGTGGATAGAGATATTTTCAGCATAAATTATAAAGGAAAAGGTATGTTAAGACTATTCCCTTCGTTCGACATGTTTCCTTAGAGCTTGGGAGTGATATAGTAGGGTAGTTAATGTTGGTGATCTTGTAGATGTAATTGTGAGTGGTTGGCTGATTGAGTGGTTATAAACTCTCATTATAGGGACTCATAATATGTTTATAGCTAACTTGCTCGTCTTTAGCTGATTCAATTGTTTGTTGTCTCCGTTAGGGCTTGTGGTTAGCTGTTGAGATCTGAACTGCCTATGGGGGCTATGATGTTGTCTAATAGGACCATGTTATATCCTAAGAGGTCTATGTGTTGCCCCCGGGGTTGTACTGATATCAGCCAAAGAGTGTTATGTGTTGCCTACGAGGCTATTTTGACGCCAAAGAGGGCAATGTGTTGCCTACAGGGCTATGTTGATGCAAAAGAGGGCTACGTGCAACCCACAAAGCTATGATGTTGCCTAAGAGGGCTATGCGCTGCCTACGGGGTAATATCGTTGCCAAAAAGGGATATGTAACTTCTTACAAAGACAAGGGGTTACCGATATGGTTATGTAGATTGATTTGGCACCTTCTGGGCTTACGGGGGCCTATGTAGGTGGTATGTTGTTTGTACCTACCGACCTTATGGGGGCTTGGTTAGGTTGTTGTTTGATCATTTTTGTAATTTTTAAAATTCAGTATTGGGTTAGCATTCTTATTTAAATTTTGATTTCCTCACCTGATTGATTTTGGTATATTATAATACTTGCTCATTTAGTCTATAGCCTTTCATACTCTATACATTATTTTGTACTGACGCCCCATTGCCTAGGGCGCTGCATTCATGTATGCAGGTCCCGACAGACGACCCAGTAGACCTCCTCAGCAGCAGGACTGACTTCTATCTGGTTAGCTAGCCCCTTTCCTCCGGAGCTGCCAGAGTTTGGAGGTTTGTTAGCTTTTGTTGTATATGTTTTTATGGGTAGGCTGAGGCCCTGTCCAGCCAATCTTTACTACTCTTAGAGGCTTGCAGACTAGCGTGTGAGGTGTATAGCTATGTTATGGCCATGCTGGCCTAGTTTGTTGGTTTGTTGAAGCTTGTGAGTTGTTTGATGTATTGTCTTGATATATAATTGCTTCCAGTTTCGGTATTGAGATCAGGGTGGCCTCGACGGCCTTATCAGGACTTCTGTGCTAGGTGCCTATTTCTTTATATGAACACTTGGGAGTAGCTGTTTCTTTTATAGATCTGTTGACAGGGGCCTTGCCGGCTGATGACTTAGTTTTAAGCCGACATATACTTGTTTATTTTCTTGATTGCGTGTGGCTGCCATGCGCTAGTAACAAATGGTTCAGAAGGGTCGGCTCGGGCCCGAGTTCTGGCATTAGGAGCCAGTTGCTCCCCTTGAGTTTGGGGCGTGACAAATTTGGTATCAGAGCAACGTCGTCTCCTAGGGAGTCTGTATGCCGTGTCTAGTAGAGTCTTGTTTATAAATGTGTTATGCACCACATTCGATAAGCAAGAAGCTACTGGGCATATTAGAATTACTATTCTTCTTTTGTTCACCTCGTGCTATAGAGCGATGTCTTAAGGGTTGAGGTTTCTGGCTTATAATTGATATTTGTATGCAGATAGAGATGACTGACACCAGACAGACTACAGGTAGCCAGGGGCTAGATACAGCTGTTGGCGAGGGTACTGGCAAGATACCACAGGTGGAGGTAGCCCATTGTGAGACCCAGGGGGAGACTTCTTCTCAGCCCCTATAGCTTCTCCACAGCTTCAGAAGCCTCCGAGGGCTTCAGGACCCCCGACTCCACCAACACTACCACATTTAGTTCCTCATATTCCATCTGACCAGGATTTCTAGTATGTATGTTAGCACAGTAGCTGCAAAGCACCAGCCGGTTGGGCCCCTTGAGTTTGGGGCGTGGAAAACTTGGTATCAAGCTCATGATGTACTGAAGACTCCTATGATCGGTGTAGATCTCACAACGCACTCCATATAGGTCGCGCCTCCAAATCTTAAGCGCGAAAACTACCGCCGGCAACTCTAAGTCATGGGTGGGGTAGTTGCGCTCATGCAGCTTAAGCTGCCTCGATGCATAAGCAATAACCCGACCCTACTGCATCAAAATACAACACAAGCCAACACCGAAAGCATCACAATATATGGTAAAGCCCTCGCCCTCAACTGGAAGAGTCAAGATAAGAGCGGTAGTAAGAAACTCCTTGAGTCTCCGAAAGCTCAACTCACACTCCTCAGACCACACAAAAGAAACATCCTGGCGAGTCAATCAAGTCAAAGGTGCAACAATAGTGGAGAAACCCTCAACAAAACGCCTGTAGTATCCAACCAGTCCAACGAAGCTCCTAATTTCAGTCACAGAAGTAGGCCTAGCCCAACCACGAATGGCCTCAAACTTCGTCGGATCCACCATAATACCATCCTTGGACACTACGTGCCCTAGAAATGTCACAGACTCCAACCAAAACTCACACTTTGAGAACTTGGCATAAAGTCGATGGTCTCTCAAAGTCTGGAGCACAATCCTCAGATGTTACGCATGCTCCTCTCTTCTCCGTGAGTATACAAGAATATCATCGATGAAAATTATAACGAATGAGTCTAGATAGGGCCTGAATACACGGGTCATCAAATCCATGGAGGCAACATGGGCAATAGTCAGCCCAAAAGACATTACTAGGAACTCATAATGGCCATAACAAGCCCTAAATGCGGTCTTAGGGATATCCACTGCCCAAATCCTCAGTTGATGGTACCCGGACCTTAAGTCGATCTTAGAAAACATAGATGATCAAACAAGTCATCAATGCGAGACAAAGGGGCCTTAATTCGAGGCACCGTTATTGGATTGAGCTCCTGAAGGACTACGACCTCTCTATTCTTTATCATCCACGTAAGGAGAATATGGTAGCGGACGCCTTGAGCCGGAAGGTGGAAAGTATGGGTAGTCTAGCCTTCATTTCATGGCCAATAACATGGTTCGGTTGGATATCTCATATTCTAAACGCGTCTTGGACTATATGCGAGTTCACTCTTCTTTGCTCGATAGGATCCGTAGTTGCCAGTTTGAGGATGACGCCTTGGTGGCCCTTAAAGATAGAGTGTTAGCGAGGGATGGTGGTTAGGCTACCTTAGATCTTGATGGAGTGTTGAGATTCGCTGGCCGCATATGTGTTCCGAGAGTGGGGGATTTGATATAGTTGATACTTTGTGAGTCCCATGAGTCTAGATACTCTATCCATCCGGGCACAACGAAAATGTACCGTGATTTGAGGTAGCATTACTGGTGGACTGGCATGAGGAGAGATATTGCTGACTTTGTTTCTCGTTGCTTGTGCTGCCAGTAGGTAAAGGCCGAGCATTTGAGGCCTGGTGGTGAGTTCCAGATATTACCCATTCCGGAGTGAAAGTGGGAGCGTATCACTATGGACTTCATTGTGGGGTTGCCTCAGACTTCTAGAGGTGTTGACAACATTTGTATCATCGTGGATCGATTGACCAAGCAGCACACTTCATTCCTGTTCATACTACCTTCAGTGTCGAGAGGTTGGCTCATATCTACATTCGGGAGGTGGTTCGTCTTCATGGCATGCTTGTTTCTATCATTTCAGATTGGGGTTCACAGTTCACTTCCATCTTTAGGAGGGCTTTTTCAGGAGGAGTTGGGCACCCGTGTCCACCTTAGCACATCATTTCACCCACAGACGGATGGCCAGTCGGAGCTTACTATTCAGGTCCTTGAGGATATGTTGCGGGACTGTGTTATGAAATTTGGACGTTAGTGGGACCAGATCCTACGTTTGGCGGAGTTTACGTACAACAACAGCTACCACTCTAGTATTTAGATGGCCCCGTTCGAGGGCTTATATGGTAGGCGTTGTCGCTCTCCAGTTGGTTGGTTTGAGTCTATGAAGCCTAGGCCGTGTGCTACAAATTTGCTTCAGGAGGCCTTGGATCAAGTGAGGGTGATTCAGGATAGGCTCAGGATGGCACAGAGTAGACATCAGAGTTACGCGGATCACAGGCATCAACCATTGAGGTTTGCAGTTGGTGATCGGTTATTTCTCCAAGTATCACCCATAAAGGGCGTGGTGAGATTTGGGAGGCAGGGCAAGCTTAGCCAAGGTATATAGGCCCTTTTGAGATTTTGAGGGCAGTTGGCGAGGTTGCCTATGAGTTAGCTTTACCTCCAACACTATTGGTTATCCACCCAATTTTCCATATTTCGATGATGCATTGGTATGTTCCAAATGAGTCTCATGTGCTCCAGTATAATTCAGTTGAGTTGGATGACCGTCTGACCTTTATGAGGAGACGGTTGCCATTCTAGCTAGTTATATATCAAGACAATACATCAAACAACTCACAAGTTTCAGCAAACCAACAAACTAGGCCAGCATGGCCATAACGTAGCTATACACCTCACACACTAGTTTGCAAGCCTCTAAGAGTAGTACAGATTGGATGACAGGGCCCCAACCTACCCATAAAAATACATACAACAAAAGCTAACAAACCTCCCAACTCTGGCAGCTCCGGAGGAAAGGGGGTAGCCAACCAAATATAAGTCAATCCTGCTATTGAGGAGGTCTAATGGATCGTCTGTCGGGACCAGCATACATGAATGCAGCGCCCCAAGGCAATGGGGTGTCAGTACAAAATAATGTATAGAGTATGAAAGGCTATAGACTAAATGAGCAAATATCATAATATACCAAAAGCAATCAGGTTAGGAAATCAAAATTTAGATAAGAATGCTAACCCACTACGAAATCTAAAAAAAATACAAAAATGATCAAACAACAACCTAACCATGCTCCCGTAAGCTCGATAGGTACAAATAACATACCACCTACGTAGGCCCCCATAAGCCCAGAAGGTGCCAAATCAAGCTACATAACCCTATCGGTAGACCCTTGTCTTTGTAAGAAGTCACATAGCCCTTTTTGGCAACGATATAGCCCCGTAGGCAGCGCATAGTTCTCTTAGGCAATATCATAGTTCTAGTGTGTGGGGTGTAAAACTACGTTGCGCAAGATGTTGCCGGACCTTCTGAAGGGTCCAGAAGTTTAAGATTTCATGAATTTCTTGCCTTGAATCCTCCACAGTTTACGGGGACAGATCGCAGAGAGGACCCTCAGCACTTTGTTGATCAGCTTCATAGGATCTTCAGAGTCATGCATGCCTCAGCGACTGAGTCAGTTGAGTTAGCAGCATTTCGATTGCGTGATGTTGCAGTATTGTGGTACGAAAGTTGGGAGAGATCTAGGGGAAAAGATACATCTCTACCCACTTGGGATAGCTTTAAAAAAGTTGTCATATATCACTATTTGCCTCGAGAGATTATGGATGGCCGGGTAGACCAGTTTCTGAACCTCTGACAGGTCAGTATGAGTGTCTGAGAGTATGGGCTATTATTTGATTTATTGGCTAGATATGCACCAGCATTTGTTGATATGATGCATGATAGGGTGCGTAGATTTGTGAGAGGGCTTGACTCAGATTATATCGACGCTTGCTCTACAGCTGCACTAAATGAAAATATGGATATCTCGCGAATTTTGGCCTTTGCACAAGGCATAGAGGATCGCCGACATCTACAGTATATGAGTGAGAGGGTCGAGAGAGAGATAGAAGAGGGATATGCCCGCTGGTTCACGGGGAGATTTTCAGGGTGGTCCCAGACCCCGATATTCTAGTAGGCCACCTAGACCTCCACCACAACAGTTCCAGGGTAGTAGATTTGATCGTCAGGGATAGTCAGGCCCAAGTGAGGGTTCACGAGCATCATGCTTTTAGCAGCAGAGCGGTTCAGGCCAGTCTAGGATAACACCGTCGCGTTACGGTACCTGCGGTAGGATGCATTTTGGGAGGTGTAGACAGGGCTCCACAGGTTGTTATTCTTGTGGATAGC